AGCCCTGAGACACAACAAGCTTAACAAGCCCTGGGATACACAACAAGCTTAACAAGCCCTGGGATACACAACAAGCTTAACAAGCCCTGAGACACAACAAGCTTAACAAGCCCTGGGATACACAACAAGCTTAACAAGCCCTGAGACCACTGTACTATATAACACATTTAAAAGCATATATAATGATGCATGGAACTACTGTGCACAAGAGAATATCCCTTTGTAGAATACAAAAGTTTACTGAGTTTGTCCTTACCTGTGAAGTGGACTTGTAGAATACAACAGTCAGGGATAACACAGGAGGACTTGTAGACTACAACAGTCAGGGATAACACAGGAGGACTTGTAGACTACAACAGTCAGGGATAACACAGGAGGACTTGTAGACTACAACAGTCAGGGATAACACAGGAGGACTTGTAGACTACAACAGTCAGGGATAATGCAGGAAGACTTGTAGACTACAACAGTCAGGGATAACACAGGAGGACTTGCAGACTACAACAGTCAGGGATAATGCAGGAAGACTTGTAGACTACAACAGTCAGGGATAATGTAGGAGGACTTGCTGGGGAAATTTTATTGTATAACAGGACCTGGTGATGACAAGAGTAGGTAGCCAAGCAGTATAACTGGTTGGTAGCTGGAGCGTACCTTGTGGATTTCTCTGATGCCATGTAGGTTTCCCCTACCCCGGGAAAGCTTTGAGCTTTTTTTGATTCATCCTTTCTACAGGTTGTGGAAGCTGTTTAGTTTCTGGTTTTCTAGTACCAGCATGACCCTGCAGGGACTACCTGGATGCATGTTAGAGTTTCTACATAAATAGTGGCAACTTGTGTTAGAGAGTAATTCAGTGAAATTGCTAAAATAAATTACAGTTTGCTTGCATTAGACAGTTTTCTTGTTTGTTATTGTAGTGTATTGCACCGTGATAACATGTCCCTCTGTTTATCTTAATTGCTATGGTCATATATAATTTTATATTTTGTGTTAACACTTTCGCTGCCCCGGCAGGGCACCCAAATCGCACCGGAAGGTAGGTTGAGCATTCCCGGTGAGCACACAACCCAATGTTAAACTCATTCACTCACAATGTTTATACTTACTAATAAGTCATTGCAAAATATGTTGCATGGCGCCGTTTGCTTCATCCCGCATACTCCGTATTTTGGTTTCATGACGGAATATGCGCCATTAGGCAACGAAAGTGTTAATTAATTAGTAAAGCAAATTGTGGTAGACCACCAAGTGGGACTGAGGTGTTAGTGAAGCCCAATAATACACTATATGTACAGTGCCCACAAAAATATATATTATAACTTAAAATACACTTTGTCTGAAATGCCATCAAATTAGTTACTGTATCTAAGAAATAACAGTTTCATATATTAAATTGACAACAGTGACCTTGTAAAATTACGGTATAAGTTAAAAAAATCTTTTCATCTGTTTCACCATGTTACAGATTTAATCTCAGTATACTCTACCCAATTTGTGTTATATAATTGCTCTTAATGAAAGGAAAATTAATACTTATGTACATAATATTCATGTAAGTTTAGATTTTACTTTTAAATAACAGAGGAAAGCCAACACTGTGACAAGAAACCAGGCCAGACTATAGCCTAGATGGAACACAAAGGGGCAAGAAGGGTGAAAAAATGGTAAAGAAATGCTATGCCCTAAATCTTGACCCTGCACAGAAGGCAAAAGATGTCGAGTTCTCAGAGCTTGGGGCATGCAGAACAACCAACCTTGACCCAGTAGCTCCTGTGGCCTGGATCCAGAAAGCCAGAGGGCAAAACTGTGAAGATGAGGGCAAAGTGCTCAGAAAATCAGGTGAACACACTTGAAAGCCCATAGTACGTGGGCATGGCAAGGCACACAGCCTAGAGTAACACAGGCTTACAGAATAAGAGCCATCGCCACCACTGCTAGTCAAGCTGACTAGCAGAAGAGAAAACTAGTGGAGCAAATGTCAGGGAAGTGTAAGGTATATAGTATATCCCGGCCAGGATACGAACCCTGGACAAAGCGCTCCCGGAACGCCAGGCGAGCATCTTACCACTACGCCACAGAGACTGCTGAACAGAGGAAAGTTCAGGTTTGAAAACTTTAACCAGATTAGGTTAAGATAGGATAGCTTAGGTTAGGTTAATATAGGATTTGTTAGGTTAGGTTAAGATAAGATAGATTAGGTTAGGTAAAGATAGGTTAGGTTAGGTTAGGTTTGGTTTGATTTGATCATATTTCTACATTACATTTAGCTCAAATTAACAAAATTAAATCATATATAAAATGTCATGCAAAGCCTTATCATTTCATAAGAATTTTTGTATAAAAATATATAATTTCAGGAAAACTCTGCTTATTAGGCAAATCAGGCCTTCATAGTAGGCCAAGTAGTGTGTTCTTGCTATTAGGTACAACATACATATGTATATATCAGGAAACTTTACCACGGAAGGATTCGAACCCGGACAGCCAGGGCTCCATGCCCCTTGGCGTGTCCAGTACTGTTATTGCAAGACCACACTGACTGTACAAAAGAATTGAAAGTTATCTGACTCTTAACCCAATTCCCGACAGCTCTCTGTGACCATTTTGGGTACAGATATTTCATCAAATCACTTCATCATGCTGGGGTCATGTGATTATCATTTGTGTGTCATATCATTGAGTATCATATCATTCATCTGAGCTCAAGCATAGAACTGCAAAGGCACTAATCAAGTAAAACTTTAAGGCCAGGGCAAAGAGACCTGCATCAAGACAAAACACTCTACCAGTGAACACAACCTGAAAGCCTCAGAGCACATAGCTTGGAAGCATCCGGCTATGCAGCCCGGATCCTCCGAGCACGCCACCCAGAAATCCCTGGACACCATGCTCAGGAAATTAAAGGCACCCAGCCTCAGGCTCAGGAACTATGGATTACATATCCTTTAGAAACAGCATGGTCGTGGCTCCCGAGTAGGATACTAAGTCATCTGAGTTGCTAGAGGAGACAGGACCATGGAAACCTGCAGAGGGGTACAACCAAGCCACAAATCTGGGGACCTAGAGATGCACCTAGGGAAGGGTCGGAGAAGGTACTAAAACAGACTGGGAAGGAAGACAAAACAAGACTTGAGAGGAACAATCTCCTTGGGTTATATGTAACAAGGCCTAAAAGCGTAAGACAGGGCAAACACATAATCTCGTCAAACAATCCACAAAATACCAGAAAAAATTCACTGCCATATTAGAGGAAAAGCAGGGACAAAACTTACATCCCTTATGTGGCCCAAAACTAGGAGAGGAAGAAAAAGAGCGCCAGGCATAGAAGACTTAAACTACAGTACTAGTATTCTGAAGCTGAGCTCTTGGAAATATGTCCCAGAGAACATTACTGAATAATGTCACCATCATTAGAAGCAGAAACATTTTACTGTATTTATGTGATATAAATTATACAATTTTAATTTCATTAGCTACATAAATTCTATTTGTACATTTTTTTGCATTATGATGTAAAAGTGTTCACTATTGGTCTATGATAATTTATTAAATAAATTGCATTTGTATGGTCATTTGGTATGATTCTATATTGAATTGAAGATCTCAAATGAAGATTTTAATTTTGTCTACAAATGTGCCATATATACCTGCCAATACTTAATAACTTAATTTGCATGATGTTAGCATTCTTGATAAACTTTACTTTATATGGGAAAAATTGATTAGACTCAATATCCTCAATGCTACAACCTAGAAGTACCCATGCCTTTGGGATCAGAGAGCAAAACACTCACCAGAAAGCTGAAATGCTCTAAAACAAGCAATTACTTGGAGATCTTTGTAACTCCGACAAAAACAATGCAAATAATTGTTACGGCATTAAAATCACTACCTAGATACACTTGGTGGCAGCCCAGGTGACCTGGGTCCCATTCAGCCAGCCAGTACAATCATGAGCCACCCAGAACTAACCCCTCCCCAACTCAACGAGCATGCAGGGTACCAGGAATGGGGCCGCTGCAGAGTAGCCCAGCTGAAAGAGGAATTTTATTACATTCAGTGGTGGATTTCTGAGAGACCCTTCAGTAGCTTTGCTATGCTATCTTATAACAGAGCCTCATCATGAAAAGTCATCGAACCTGAAAATGAAACACAAAACAGAACATAGAAAAATTTCCAATGCTTATCTATCGAGAAGAGCAGTTGAAGACACAAACCAGAGGCTGTGGTACACAGTGCCAGGCCAGACACCCAAATGCAGCACAAATGTGGTGTGTGGCCGAGGGACATTCCACAAATAACAAATGGCCAGCACATTTTTTGGACTGCCAGAATCCCCGAACTGCAGTGTATTTTAACAAACAATTGGTACGGTATTGAAGTGTAACCAGTTAGTGGAACTGCAGTGTTTGAGTAACCAACAAGTGGCACTGAATTGTGAGTGTAAGCAACAAGTGGCACTGAAGTGTGAGTGTAAGCAACAAGTGGCACTGAAGTATTCATACAGCCCTAGTAGAGAACCATTATATGGAAACTGTTCCCTTTACGTTCCCCTTGATTGTGCATCTCCAGTCAAATATTGTATCTAATTGTTACTTAATTTGATCAAATATCTCTATATTAGAAAATGTGTGATATTAAATATGAGGTTGATTGTAGTGCATTATATTATGAGGTAACTTTTGGTATATTACGGTGTTGTACAGTATAATATTTCATATTTTTTGTTTATTTTCTACAAAAATTTGTTCGTAACAAAAGTTTCTTTGTGTTCATTACAAATTTATGAAAATAATTTATTTAGGGAGCCGGTGTCCCTAGTGCAATGTAGTCTTCTACAAAACTATCAAGCACTGATGAATTTTTGAAGACTAACAGAAACTATATAATACATACAGCTAATGCAAGCACCTCAAATGTGAACATTTTGCAAGTGCCAAAATAGCATTGTACAGTGTATACAAAAACAAGTTTCAATATATTGTTTTGTCTTCCCGCAGTCCATATCGAACCCGTGTGCGGCCAGCAGTGGAACCCAGCCGGGTGAAGGTGTCTGGGTCAGGTGTAATTAATACAGTGGAACCTCGAATAACGAATTTAATCCGTTCCGGCGCCATGCTCGTCATGTGAAACCGACGTCATACAAAACGAATTTCCCCATTGACAATAACAGAAATCAAATTAATCTGTTCTACCACCGAAAAACATCAGTATGATATTCGATGTTTTAAATAATGGAGCAGCCTACCTTACATACACTGAACAATTCTTTATGACATTTTTCTTTTTTCAAATTTGTTCGATATTTTTTTCATTTCTTTTATAGCAAAAGGTTTGTTCTGTGTTCGGCAGGTAGGCTGCTCCATGTTTCTTAAATAAAAAAAAAATTAAAAAAAAAATTGAAAAACAGAACAAATGCCAAAAAGGTTCGTTCGGTGTTCGGCAGGTAGGCTGCTCCATGTTTATTTAATAAAAAAAATAACGAAAAATAAAAAAACAGTTGAAACAATTTGAAAAACGGACAAATGCCATAAAGGTTCGTTCAGTGTTTGTTGGGTAGGCTGCTCCATTATGACAATCTTTCTTTGTTTCAAATGTGTTCCATTTGTTTTGTATTTTTCATTTATGTCTCAATAATGGAGCAGCCTACCCGACAAACACTGAATGAACCTTTATGGCATTTGTCTGTTTTTCAAATTGTTTCAACAGTTTTTTTTTTTTCGTTATTTTTTTTTTTTTAAGAAACATGAAGCAACCTACCTGCCGAACACAGAACACACCTTTTTGACATTTGTTCTGTTTTTCAAAAAACAAAAAAAAAAAAAAAAAAATTATTTATTTTCACTTTTTTTTTATTTAAGAAACATGGAGCAGCCTACCTGCCGAACACCGAACAAACTTTCTTGACATTTGTTGTTTTCCAAAAATTTAATTTCTTTTTTTCTACATAAAAGTCAATGCTTTGCACCATCACAGCAGTCACCCCTTTATATCCCAGCATCATTAGCATCTTTAAAAAAAAAAAAAAATATTTGCATCGTCGGAGGCGTCCAAGAATGTGCGAGAACCCGCGCGACCCCACCATGTGGTGTTGTCGTTATTCAAACGAGCGCTCGCCATACGAGACGAATCAGTGTCAGCTCGATGCTAGCCAATTGAAGCGGTCGTCACTCGCTCGTTACCCAAAATGCTCGCCAATTGAGTTATTAAGGCGACTTATTCTCTGCAAATTAAATCATCGTCACTCTAGGTCCTAAGGTTCTACTCAGTCATGCCATTCTTATGAGCAGAGTTTCTTTCACCCTGATGATCCTGTTCACCTAACAGTAAATAGGTACTTGGGAGTTAGGCAGCTGCTATGGGCTGCTTCCTGGGGGATATGTGTGTGAAAATTAGGATTAAGGACTTGCCCGAAATGCTATGCTATGCATGCTAGTGGCTGTACAAAAAGGTAAGATCTCTTGTGTGTGTGTGTGTGTGTGAGACTTTATACATCATATTGACAGGTCTATATCAGTTGCATACAGTTAATGTTAAAGGTGTTGATGGACTTAAATAGCAACTAGTACAGGCAGACAAGTCCTTCTTTTTGAGGATTATTCATTCCATTAACTTATTGTCTAATATTTTGCTTCAGTATAATTGCAGTACTGCAAATATTCAAAAATATTTAAAATTGTTAACCCTATCTCTTGTTTTTATAGAGTAATATTGGGTGTCTTTTGCTGGGTAATAACACAGTGGGAGTGATTGTTTGGGTTAAAGAAGCTGACATCATGCAACTGGAGGTACTGTAATACTGTATAACAGTGACAGAAATATGGAAGATATAAATAATCAGGCTCATTACACTATACACAAGAGAGTATTAGTAGCTAATTAATGTCTTAAGCCTTTATAACAAAAATTATTTATTTAATAGTTATAAATACTGTATGTAATTTAGAGCAACGGTGATTATCCAAATAATTGTTAGTACCGAGTGTCTGGACGTCATATGACAATTTGTCACTAATTTTTTTTTTTTTTTTTGGCAGAAATAATGCAACAATCACTTTAGTATATACTGTATTTTATTCGATATATATGTGCTCAAATTTATTCAATGGTTTTTAATGGGAATGCACCTATACATATATAAAAAACAAATAAATTTTGTGTTAGATTATTTGGTTCAAATGAGTGTCTGCTAATTTAAGTGAGGAACAATGTTTTTGCTATTGCAGTCAACTGGTACAATACCTAAAATGGGGATTTGGATAATCATGGTCCCACAGTATTACATAAATACAGTACAGAACATCCTTATACAGTATAATTTTATTGTTTAAATCTTGTGTGCTACTTATACAGGCTGACAAGTGCAAGATTACAGAAGGTATCAACCACTCGCTCACAATAGGAGAAGAATACTGCATCACTGTCAACGCCAAAAATGCCGGCAGTGGAGCCGTCACCTGTAGAATCCGGTCAACCTCTGGCAGGTAAACTGTCTTTTTACTCAGTTTAATAGAACGTATATTTCACGTTTGTGCTTTCTGGCTTTTATCATCTCTTACTTGTCTGAACAATTTTAAGTACTGTACTCAACTTTCAGGGAACATCTCTGGTTTGTTTACATTTTCATATCTTACAAACAGAATGTTCATATTTCTTTAAAAAATATTTTTAAGAATGTTCCTTATCTAAAGTAGAATGCTTGTAAAGAATAATGTTTAATGATTTTGTATTCCATCTTTGGTACTACATTTTGAAATGAATATAGCCAGTAATAAGCCAAATATGATTCCAGTAGATACATGGTTACTTTGAGGGAAATTGTTTGCAATACAGCAATCTGTAGTAGAATAAATGTTAAATTCCTTATGGTATTTAAATAATATGTATAGTAAATATTATTTTATTTCAGTGACCTGGATATTGATATTGAGGATAATGGGGATGGAACCTTCAGCATCTATTACACTGTGAAGGATGCGGGCGAATACACACTGTCAGTCAAGTTTGGTGGGCAGCCTGTTCCCGACGGCTTCTACTCCTTCACCGTGAGTACACCACTTATCACAGTTAGTATTATTTTTATACCAGCTCTTATACTGAAGGCAGCAGCTGAAGAATGTATTAGAATTTTATAGGTACAATAAAGCACAAAAATCTAGAGTGTCAGTGTTCAATTTTTTTTTTTTTTTTTTGCAGGGAGTTACACTTTATTGTATAACTGTATTCATATCTTTTGCAAGCACTGTTTTGTAAATACTGTAGCACAATAAAAGACAAAGAATGTGAAAGTTCTTATTTGAAAAAAGAGAGTAAAGAGAATAGTAGTGTATATATAAAATAAATATTAACATAAGTAAGAAGCTAATGTCGGGTTTGTTCTCAACTCACAATCAGGAATTCTGGGTTCGATTCCCGGGTGGAACAGACATGCTTAGGTACGTTTCTTATTACCTAATGCTTCTGTCCACCTAGCAGTAAATAGGTACCCAGGAGTTAGTCAGCTTTTGTGGGGGTTGCATTGTAGAGAGGGTCGGTAGTTCGACCTTGGGGGGGGGGTGGGAGGGGGACCTCAGTGTATGCCTATGATGTATACAGTATATACACTGGTGGCCTATTCCCGAACACAATGAATTATTATTTTAATATAATGAAGTTGAAATAAGATTGTAATAAATATTAAAGTGTGGAAGACAGGGGTGAGGGCACTGATGGGGTCAGAAGGAATGGGAGGGCATTGTGCAGGGCAGCAAGGAGGAGGAGGCACAATGCTGCCAGTGGAACCAACAAAACCTTCATTATATGTTTACATATGTTGTTTAAATGTAGTTCATTTACATACAGATGTTATTAACTTTATTAAGTTTTGGATATGATACAGAGCATTATCCAAGATTGTCTGATATACATTCACCTGAAGGCTTCATGGTATAATCAGATTACATTTGAGATGTGTCTGTAAAATTGATAATTTATGAGTTTCTTAAATTATAGTGCTGTACATTGTCAAATGATATACAGTGTAGTACAGTAATATACAGTACATTTGGAGTGTGACTTCATATACCAGAGTTCACTTTACATCATTTGCATTCAACATTATGCCAATTATCTTTTATGGATGATCATATGATGCTTTGAAACTTGTGATGGTTTTGGCATCCACTGCCTTCTCACTTATTCTAACCTTCTACAACTCTGCAAATGAGAACTGTTGCATGTGTTTTCAGCACCTTTGTTTCCTTTAGCCTGAATCTATGACCTCTTGTTCTTCAAGCTGTAGGTTTCAAAATTTCTTCTGTCTCTATTTTCTCATTTCCTGTTACTATTTTGTATGTATTGATCATATCAGCTCTTTTCCTCCTACAGTAACTTGTAGCCTTAGCATGTTTAATGCCTCCAATCTCCAGTCAGTTTAATGCCTCCATAGCTCATATTTTTAAGTTCCAGGAGCCATTTAGCATGTCTTTGGCCCTTTCCTAATTTGTTTGTGGTTTTTGGGATATGGGCTCCACAGCACTGCTGCATATTCCAATTTCGACTTTACACAGTGCATGAACATTTTCTTTAATGTTTCTGAAATTTGTTAGCATAGCATAGGTTCATCTCACAATTCCCTTCATGTGGTTCTCTGGTGACAGCTTTCTATCCAGAACCACTAACAGATCTCTTTCCTTGTCAGAAGTTTTTAATATCTTTTCACTAAATTTATAGGTTAAGTGTGGCCTGTTCCTCTATATTCCACATTCCATTATGTGACATTTATTTATATTGAATTCCATCTGCCATGTGCTGGTCCACTCACCTATTATGTCTAGGACATTTTTAAAGGGCAATACAGTCATCTAAGTCCCAGACTCTCCCTAGTAATTTTGCATCATCTACAAACATATTCATATAACTCTGTATTCCCTTTGGTAAATAATTTATTTAGATAATAAGCATTACCAGTGCAAGAACTGAACCTTGAGGGACTCTGCTAGTGATATTTCTCCAGTCAGATACATTTTGTCTGATCACTCCTTGCATTTGTTTGTTATAAAATATATCATACAATTTAGACGTTTGAAAGTCACTCCTCTGATGTGTTCAAATAATTCTGTGGTGTTGTTATAGAAATGAAGTAGATTTGTTCATGTTATTATGTTAGTTGCTTTCCAGGTACTCTGTCCATTTGATTTTGATAATATTTTCTAGTTCGTTTATTAGCATGCTTGTAAATGCTCCCTGAACAATTTTCTATTTCTTCTGTAGACTAGGTACTCTAATTTACATCTGAAAGTCAATATTGAGGCTGTTTTTAATCTTTGGAGTTTGTCTGTCACTTGCAATTTGCTGTTTATGAATTTATAGAAAAGGCCAGGTTCTGTTTTATATTTGTCTGTTATTGCCTTCTCAAAATTTTGTTGTCTCTTTTTCTCACTGCTGTATAGTTGTTTCTTGGCTGTTTGTAGTACTAGTATGTTTGTGGGGTTTGGCTTCTTCCTATATTGATTCCATTTTTTTTTGTCTTTTGTTCTCTGACTCTCGATTTCTATTAAACCAATTTTGTTTTCATTATTTCTTTCTCTGTTTTGGTATAAATGTTTGGGTGCCTTTCTCATACATCTCCCAAAAATTTGCATACACTTTGTTTATTTTCTTACATAACAACAGACCTTTCCAGTCAGTCTCAGTAAAGAATTCTCTTAGACTCCTGTATTGTCGTTTCTTAAAGTCGAGTTTCTCTGTTGTTTTACTTCGTGTATCTTCTGTGTGATACCCCTATTGCATATTTCACTTCTAAGAGTACGTGGTCACCATACTAATTGGAGGCAGTTACTCTATATTAAAAATCCACCTCCTTATTTCTGATAAATATTAGGTCCAATATCAATGAAATGTAGTTATAAATTCTACAGCCAGTTGTATGGGAGGGAAACTTATAATTTGTGTATATAATGGATATTATAATACAAATTACACAACGTATAAAAGGATATTTTTTTAGGTTTGGTTCAATTATCTTACAGTGGTAAATGTTGCATTTATATAATTATTGTAACTGTTGAGATGATGTCTAAATCTTTGAGGCCTTGGGCGAGGAAAATCAAAGACTAGAGATGTAACTGCTTACACACGGCAAGGTTATGTCAACTTTATAAAATTATATGATTAACATGCACTTAAATAACCTAGTTTGACCTTCAATATTTGATTCTGTCATCACTATATGACTTGTGAGGCATAAAAAGGTAGCAGATGGCAATGTCAGTATATTTTCATCTTATTCTTCTAGCCTATGATGGGTTCACTCAGAGAATTTTGTAAAGAAAACATCATAATTATGATTTTAAAAACCTCATTATTGATATATAAATATGTAAGTGATGCAGGCAAGCAGCATACACAACAATAAGGCATTTTACTGAGGCCAGCCAGTAAGAGAGAGAGGGAATGGTACTAAGACTATTTTTTGAGAGTGATTCTAGAAAACTGCTGGATGGCACATCAAACTTTCATTTTATTGTCCTGAAATATTGTGAAATTTAAAGTGAAATAATATAAAGATTTGAATGTGAGGTTGGCCCCCTGGAGATATTCTGTGAAGCATTCTAGTGTTGTTTATACATACCGTAGTCATATGCTATGTATATGTTACGGGGCTTGTTGATCCATGCATGTGTATGCCAGCTCTGGTCGGGGGTCACCTGCTGGTAGTGTCTTCCTTGGGGATGTAAAGTCGTGCAGTAATTGACATATACTGTTCAGTTGTTGCCCACATTCCACTCCGGAGAATTTTTGCTAGCAACAGAGTTGTGCTGTGAGGCCAGGCTTCATGTCCCTCCTCTCTCTCTCTCCTCCAACCCCCTTCCCCCATTCTCACTCTGGAGGAAAAGAATGAATGGAAGTGGGAGAGAGGGAGGGCAGGAGTAAATGATTGGGAAGGAAGGAAGAAATTTGTGGATGGGAGGGAGTGAAGACATGGAAATGTAGTTGGGAGGGGGTTGGGGAAGTGAATGTGTGGGTGGGATGTAGGGTGTGCATGTGAGGTAGCAAGTGCATGTGTAGGTAGAAGGAAGGGAGTGTATGTGTGGGTAGGAGGAAGTTGGTCTGTGTGTGTGTGTGTACAGGAGAGAGTGTAGTATGGAATACAAGAGAGGGAATGCATTTAAGGGAGGGCTCACATGTGTAGGCGGGAGGGAAGGAGTACAAATATGTGTGGGCGGGAGGGAAAGAGAGTGTAGTTGGGAAGGAACGTGCCGTGCTGGCTGCCAGCCAACCTCGGTATTTTAATTATCACAATTGAGTTTATTTAAACGTCAGTCGGGAAGGTACGTGTGTGTAGGTGGCTTTTTATGATTGCCAGTTGTAGCGGGTCAGGGTGCTTGTGTTTCATCGTGATTTACTCGTGGAAGGTTTTCTTTGTGAAGAATAGGAAGAGCCTGTGCTTTTTGTGTTGTCTTGTAAATTCAATATTCTATATTCCTCAGGCTGAATTTGTGTCAGATGCGCAGTGATTTTGTCCTTGTAAAAGACTTCAGTTAAATTATATATATATATAGACAGGCAGGAAGGCAGGTCATGTTAATTCATTATTTTAAGTGGGACACAAATTAGATTATTCTTATATATTTTATTAAATTGTAAAGACTCAAGGGAATTACAATCGTAATAACATGTACAGTACTGTAATTACTATACTGTATATTGTAATAGACTCGAGGGAAGTTTAACAGAGGCTGTCACCCATTATTTTGCTGCGGGGACCTCAATCTCAGACTGTATATGTTACAGCGTTTGTTATGGATGTGTTGCAAGGCAAGTACCAAGATGCCTCTACCAAGCTGTGATAGAAGGAAATGTTTAGGAATGTACACACATAGTGAAATTACAGGTTGGGAGTTGGCAGGTATGGGGTTGGCAGGTAGGGGGTAGGCAGGTAGGGGGTTGGCAGATAGGGGGTTGGCAGGTAGGGGGATTGGCAGGTTGTGGGTTGGCAGGTTGGGGGTTGGCAGGTAGGGGGTTGGCAGGTTGTGGGTTGGCAGGTAGGGGGTTGGCAGGTAGG